CTCCCCAGAGGCAGAGGCCAGCAGGCAAACCCCAGCTCAGGGTGGAGGGGGGGGGAAGGACGCTCGGTCCATCTCCTCTGGGAGATCCGACCCTTCAGAGATAGATTTCTCCATGTACTGGATGGGGGCAGGGCGGCCCCTGCAGAGCAAGTGCCTCATGCCCCTGCAGGTGGATGGCAGGAAGGTGATGGGCTACTAGGACACGGGTGCGAAGGTGATGCTGGCCCGGCACCAGGGAGTAGCCCCAGACCATATGGTGCCCAACACTCAGCTGACCCTGAGGGGCATAGACAGGACCCCATTTAAGGTGCCTGTAGCCCGGGTACATCTGAAAGGGGGGACCAAGGAGGGCCCCAAGGAGGTGGGGGTCACCGGCACTTGCCCACAGAGGTGCTGATGGGGAGTGACCTAGAGGAGTGGCCAGACAGACCCCACAGGGCTCTAGTCACAACCCATAGCCAGAGCCAGCGAGGGGGAGGTGACCCTGGTCCAGGGAAGGGCTCCCTGCAGGGGGCGCAGGGACCCAACCAAGCAGACATGGGGCCCAGCCAGGCTAGGACTCCGGACCTAGGGACGGGCAGGGAACAGGTCCCTGTCCCTGCCCCAGCTGCGGAATTCCATGCTGAGGTGCAGGCAGACCTCCCCTTGCAGAGGCTGAGGGACCAGGCTGGCCTCGGCACAGCTCAGCCCCTGGGGAGAGGCTGCCAGGAGAAATTCCTGTGGGAGAGGAGATTTTTGTACTGGGAATGGCTCCCCCAGGGAAGGTGAAGGTATGGGGGGGTCCAGCAGCAGCTGGTAGTTCCCCTATCACCGCAAGCTGCTGTATCTGGCCCATGACGTCCCATCTGCGGGGCACTGGGATATCCAGCGCACCCGGCTGAGGCTGCTCCAACACTTCTACTGGCCGGGGATATTTGCAGCAATAGAGATAGTGGGGCCTGTCAGCCAAGCCAGCCGGACAGGGAACAAATACATCCTGGTAGCCGTGGATTTGGCTACCAACTGCCCCAGGACCGTGGCTCTGCCCTCTAGCGAGGCAGACACGGTGGCAGACGCACTGCTGACCATTTTCAGTAGGCTGGGGTTCCCCAAGGAGGTCCTCACGGACCAGGGATCCAGCTTCATGTCAGCCCTTCTCCAGTGCTTGTGGGAGAAGCACGGGGCCCGGCTCACCTGGGCCCCAGCATATGGCGCCCGGCCCAGCGGGCTGGTGAGGAGGTTCCAGGGGACTCTGAAGCAGATGCTGGAGGTCTTCAACTTGCTGTCTGCACACAGGAAGGCACCCAGAGGATCTGCCAGGTTCTCCCCGACCAAGTCAGGGTGCAGAAGGAGGAAGGACCCCCTAGACTTGCTGAGAGAGTTATGAAAGGAGGAGAGGTCCCCGAATGGAGAGTCGAGGGTGGAGGACGTCCTGGCTTTACGGGAAAGGCTTGCTGAGCTCATGCGTCTGGCCAGGAAGACCCCGGGCAGAGTCCAAAGGAAGGAAAAGGACTGGTACAACCGCAGGGAGTGGGCCCACGCAAGCCCCTCAAAGCCATGCAGCTGTAGCCCAAGCAAAGGGGACCATCAATGTCACCAAGCTGGGGGGCCCAAACTTCCCCAGGTCACAAGTGGAGTGACCCCGCTCAGTTCACTCTCGGAGGGGGAGAGATGTGATGTAGTGTCAGTACATTGCTGGTTGCTATGCTTGGGCTGTGAGCTTTGGATGACCCCTACTGGCCTTTGTCTGTAAAAACTGCCCAGCCGGGGCGCCTTGAGGGCCCCCATGACAGTGACCGAAATGGTCCTACCGGTTAAGGGAAGGGACTGAACGAAGGAAGTGAGTGTTGGAGGAAGGGGCTGTCTTGCGCTGGAACCATGAAGGGGAAAGACTAAGGAGGCGGGCTGAGAGTCTAGGGGCCCAGAAACCCCATCTCAAGGGGTCTGAGGCATCCTGGCCCAGACTCCTGTAGCCACATCACATCTATGCTGTGCTGTATCCTGGAGGAGCAATAAGCCCTCTCTATTCTACTGGCTGGCGGAGTCTGTTCTTGCTGCTATGGGGCTGCAGGATCAGGGGGAACTCCAACGCGCCATCACACATGGCAAAACAAAAAAAGAAAAAAAACTTAAACTAAAAATAAACATCCATCAAAAAATAGCATAATGCAAAACCCACTAGTCCTAATAAAAAAAACTATTATAAAAAAACCGTTTTGCCTTAAAAGCGGGGACATCCTGCCATTACTGGAGCATCACCGGACCAATAGACCCCCGCTCCTCCACCCATAATCAATCCACAAATCATAAATAAATACAACATCAAATAGTAAAACAATGTATGTAGATGTATTGTGTGTGTATCTGTCTATCTACGTATGCATATGCTGCTTTGCCACTGTATTCTCAATAAACGCAACATGTTGCCTTTTCCCCCTCTAAAAATTCCATGTGCTTCTTATAAGCATAACAGTCTAACCTGAATGGGAAGCAAGAAGTGGCTTCATTGCATAGCAGGAGAAGGGAGTGAGGAATACAGGCAGTTAGTGCACACCTTAGTAACTCCAAAACCTCTATAAAATGTCTTTTACTCAATTAATTCAGCTCCTGCCACCTACCACAGCCCCTCGCCATCACTGGCTGTCTACTTTTGCTAAGCACCTCAGCAGGAGGGGCAGACATGTGGCTCATCGCAGAGCTCTTTCCTCACCATCTCCATAGCAGCTGCGAGGCAGTGGAAATCCCAGTGGAAAGGTAATCCGGAGAGATCACTTTTCAAGTGGATGGTGAGTTTGCTGGAAGTCTGTTGGCAGGAGAACGAGGTGGCATCACTCTTCCTTCCTTCTAGCAAAGGGCACATCAGGTTGCTCAAGCGATTCAGGAAAGAGGACACATGAGCTGTCAGTCGCTTGTTCAGCTCCTGGGAAAGACCAATAGAAAGGAGCAATGAGTAGGAGCAGCAAGGCATTCTGGAGACCATAGTTCCAGCTAAGGTGCGTGCCTGCACAGCCGAGCACAAAAAATTCTTCTCCTGCCCACCTCCTCTGGAGAGCCACACAGCAGGCGGCTGCTGCAGGGGGCAGGCCAGCTGAGATGGCATGGGGAGGGGGGCACCTGGCAGGGAGGAGGCCTGCTCCGGTGGCCGGGACTGCCACGTGGTGGGGGGAGGGCCTTTTCTGACAGCTGGGGCCAGGAACAGGATATGCTGTGAAGGCTAGGACTAGGGATCTAGGGGTCATAGTGGACCACAAGTTGAATATGAGCCAACAGTGTGATGCTGTTGCAAAAAAAGCAAATATGATTCTAGGTTGTATCAACAGCTGTGTTGTAAGCAAAACTCGTGAAGTCATTCTGCCGCTCTACTCTGCACTAGTTAGGCCTCAGCTGGAGTACTGTGTCCAGTTCTGGGCACCACATTTCAAGAACGATGTGGAGAAATTGGAAAGGGTACAGAGAAGAGCGACAAGAATGATTAAAGGTTTAGAGAACATGACCTATGAAGCCAGGCTTCATGAACTGGGCTTGTTTAGTTTGGAAAAAAGAAGATTAAGGGGGGACATGATAGCGGTTTTCAAATATCTAAAAGGGTGTCACAAGGAGGAAGGAGAAAATTTGTTCCTCTTGGTTTCTGAGGACAGGACAAGGAGTAATGGGCTTAAAGTGCAGCAAGGGAGGTTTAGATTGGACATTAGGAAAAAAATCCTAACTGTCAGGGTGGTCAAATATTGGAATAAATTGCCAAGGGAGGTGGTGGAATCTCCCTCTCTGGAGATATTTAAGAACAGGTTAGATAGACATCTGTCAGGGATAGTGTAGAGGCAGCAGTGGCATGAGCTGGCCATGACGGAGCGGAGAAGCCGAAGGGCCCCGGTTGCGGTGAGTGGGGAGAACCCCAGGAGGTCCGGGGCGGCCAGACGTTTGGAGAAGCTTGTGTTGGCCCAATGTAAAAACTTGGGAGACATGGACAGGTTCCACAGCTCCTTTGAGCGGGCCTATGTACTACACCAAATCCCCCACAGCGGACCGACTGCAACACCTCACCCCCTTGCTGGATCAGGAGGCCGCAGGGGTTTTCAATCAGCTGGAGGATCTGCAGCCGGGTGATTACGAACGGGTCAAAGAGGCCCTGCTGCACAAGTTCAAGATGACCCCGGAAACATAGAGGAAGAAGTTCCAGGGGGTATAGAAGGGGCCACGGGAGACCTCCGGCCTGGCGCAGTCCTGCCGCAAGTGGGTGTTCGGGGTCGGAGCCCAGTCCACAGAGGACCTGCTTAAGATGATGATGCTGGAACAGTTCTATGAAGCGTGTCCACCCAGCCTGAGGCTGTGGCTCAAGGACCGGAAGCCAGAGGAACCCCAGGAGGCCGGGAGGCTGGCGGACGAGTTCATGGAGAGCCGGTCCAGGTGTGAACGGGAGTCCCGGAGAGAAAGGGAATCGCGCAGAGACCGGATCTCGGCTGAGTGACGGAGAGAAAGGGAATCACACAGAGACCGGATCTCGGCTGAGTGACGGAGAGAAAGGGAATCACACAGAGACCGGATCTCGGCTGAGTGACGGAGAGAAAGGGAATCACACAGAGACCGGATCTCGGCTGAGTGACGGAGAGAAAGGGAATCACACAGAGACCGGATCTCGGCTGAGTGACGGAGAGAAAGGGAATCACACAGAGACCGGATCTCGGCTGAGTGACGGAGAGAAAGGGAATCACACAGAGACCGGATCTCGGCTGAGTGACGGAGAGAAAGGGAATCACACAGAGACCGGATCTCGGCTGAGTGACGGAGAGAAAGGGAATCACACAGAGACCGGATCTCGGCTGAGTGACGGAGAGAAAGGGAATCACACAGAGACCGGATCTCGGCTGAGTGACGGAGAGAAAGGGAATCACACAGAGACCGGATCTCGGCTGAGTGACGGAGAGAAAGGGAATCACACAGAGACCGGATCTCGGCTGAGTGACGGAGAGAAAGGGAATCACACAGAGACCGGATCTCGGCTGAGTGACGGAGAGAAAGGGAATCACACAGAGACCGGATCTCGGCTGAGTGACGGAGAGAAAGGGAATCACACAGAGACCGGATCTCGGCTGAGTGACGGAGAGAAAGGGAATCACACAGAGACCGGATCTCGGCTGAGTGACGGAGAGAAAGGGAATCACACAGAGACCGGATCTCGGCTGAGTGACGGAGAGAGAGGGAATCGCGCAGAGACCGGATCTCGGCTGAGTGACGGAGAGAAAGGGAATCGCGCAGAGACCGGATCTCGGCTGAGTGACGGAGAGAGAGGGAATCACACAGAGACCGGATCTCGGCTGAGTGACGGAGAGAGAGGGAATCGCGCAGAGACCGGATCTCGGCTGAGTGACGGAGAGAAAGGGAATCACACAGAGACCGGATCTCGGCTGAGTGACGGAGAGAGTCGGAAACGAGCAGAGACCAAGAGACAAGGACC